AGCTCTCGTGTAACTTTGCGCGAAATTCAAAACAAAACAAACAAATATAATTAGTTTAATGGCGTCAACATTAAATTTAAGAAAAGTATTAAATTAAAAGCTTTGTTTGTTTGTTGATATTCGCGCAAAGCTTCTCGACGGCCATCTGGGCTCACCGTTTCTAATTTCAAAGTAACAGACTAGAGAGAGAGCAGATAATAAACATCATTCATTGCCAACTTTTGGACTCTTCTTGTCAGACCAAATAGTGAGGGCGCAAAACATGACACAGTCCAGCTCTCAAACCAATGGGCTGCGTTCGGCTCGAAAATAAAATGCAAGTCTTGTTGTGGTTTCAGTGTTTTATGCCTTCCTATTACAGGAAGATGTTTGACCCCTTTTAAGCAAGAGTATTTTTATGTATGTTGACGTAGAGAATTAAAACACGTATCTGAAACAGACTGCTATGATGTATGCTTGTTGTTATTATTTTCAATAAGTTATATGATAGAACAATGTCTGTAGTTGTTATTTAGTAGAAAGAAAAAAATTCAACCTCTGTTAGATCTAAATTAAACACATAGGAAAACAATAAATATTATTGGGAAATCAGTTAATAACTTCTATACTGGTAATAAATATAATATAGCTGAAACATTGAAAGGAATGATGTAAAATCCACAATAAGAAATATGAACGTTCCACTGGCTTTAGAACCGAGCTTTTTGGCATATGGGATTAAGTTGAGATTTCACTCGAATTTGGAGACGCCTGTCGCCCTAAAGAGGTTTCTTTGTATGCTGCCAATAGACAAAACACAAAATTAGTGACCACTTAAAAGGACGTTGCATTTATTGAGCGTTGTGTCGTTATACTCACTTCTGTAATTGCTTCAAATTACAAGCGCCTGGCTGCACAAGTTCAATGTTTAAATTCGGTACATAGTAATATTTAGAAGAAAATTTCGTTTGTTTGTTTCTTGTTAAGCACAAAGTTCCAGAATGGACTATTTGTGTTCTGCTCAGTTTGGGTATCGAAACCCGAGCTTTAGCATTAGAAGCTCTCAGACTTATCGCTGAGCCATCAGGGGGCTCAAAAGAAAATATTGTTTGTTTGTTGTTAAGCGCAAACCTACACAATAGGCTATCTCTGCTGTACCTGGTATGGGTGTTTTGCGTTATAAACATCCAGACTTATTGCTCAGTCACTAGAGTTACGAAAGAAAAGTGTAAAAAGTTGAATAAGATGGAAATAAACATGTTTAACCTACTTTTATGAATGCCAATATGAAGCAAACAAGTTTGCTTGCCAAATGTCATTGATGCCCATTACCCATACTTAGTGGTGTCTTAAGCTTTATTTATTTTCACGTTTGGCTGATTTGAAGGTGACTT